TTTCTGGGAATGCGTGCGCAGGGCTTCGGAAGGGCGTCTTTCAAGCCGCGTTTTGCAGGGGAGGCCAGTCGAACGATCTCCCCAGAGAGCCCCGACCTTCTCGGATCGGCAAAGTCCTTGGAGAGTCCTCCCCTCCTCCTCCTTCCCCCCCTTCCCTTTCCCCTTCCTCCCCTCCATCGCCTTCCCCTCCTCCCTCCCTTGTTGTACGATCTGGAGGAAGAAGAACTGGGCGGTCGGATACCCAGGGGGGGCCCTGTCGTTGGCCCCTGGCAGGTCTTTGGCCTTCCTGCCAGGGTGACAAAAAGTTCCCCTCGGATGGGCCCCCCTGGGTTTTTTGGACCGTCGGACTTTCTCCCCCCCTTTCCCCTCAGTGGCGTGCGATCCTCCCTCCCTTGCTTCCCGCCCCTCCCCCTCCCTCCCCCACTGGTCTCCGGGTGACAGCTCGGCTCTCCGGCGGCCGGTCGGGGCGATAAAAGGAGAGGCGAAAGGGGGAGGTGGTGGGGGTTTGGGAGATACCAAACATACTGGTTTTCTTCAAGAATTTATAAGAAATTTAATTAACTATCTATTCCGGGCGCGCTCGGGACGCTCTGGGGACGGCGCTAGGCCGCGGATAGGTCCACACGTCTGGAAGCGGGAGCACCGCCGGGAACCACCGGAACACGGCCGAAAACCTCAAGCCTCCTCCTCCTCCTCCTCTCCCCTCCTCCACTTGCTCCTCCTTCCTCCTCCTCCCTCCTCCCTCTCCGCCCTCCTCCCTCCTTCCCCTCCTCCTCCTCCTCCTCCCCCCTCCTCCTCCCCCGCCTCCATCCTCCTCCTCCTCCCCCTCCTCCTCCCTTGCTCCTCCTCCTCCTCCTCCTCCTCCTGCTCCTCCCCCATTCGCCCCAACTATATACTGGGGCCCCTGAGACGGCGCGCCCGAGCGCGGCCAGGCGGCCCGGCCGCCGCCGAGCTCGTGCGGAGCACGGCCGCCGCGCTGTGCTCGCCCGCGGAGGCGCGCGGCGCGCCCCGGGGGCCGCCTCGGAGCGGCGCGCGCTCGCCGCCTGCCGCCGCCGCCCGCGGGGTCGGTCGGTTTTGGTTGGTCGGCCCAGCTGGGTCGCAGTCGGCTGCATTCGGTCGGTTCGGTTGGGGGCGAACGACACGGGGGGGGATAGGGAAAGGGGGGATACGAAATCTTGCCGCACGCAGCTGAATTCGGCTCCGCCGCCGGGCCCATTCCTCGATACATGGGCGCCTCCCGGCGCCGGGAGGCGCCGGGAAAGTCAGCTACGTGAGCTGATTCTCCCCGCCCCCCTTTGCTATTCCCCCGTTTCGCCCGACCCGAGTCTCGGCGGCGGAATCCGATTACTTTGGGCTCTGGCGGGGCCCTGGTTTTCGGGCCGTTCCTTCGACCTAGGCGGGGGAGCCTGGAGCTCGCCGCAGCCAGGGAAGCCCTCCCGTTCCTTGTTTGCCTTCTGTTGGCACGCCGACTGTGCACTCGCCGAGCAGAGGTTCAGGCAGCTCGATGGGCGGCGGGGAGAGGGGCCGGACTCCGTCGAGCACGACAAACACTCCCGTCGTCTCAGGGGGGCCGATGGTCGAGGGGATCGATGCTCGGTAGGCGGCGACGTCCGAACCCTATGCGGTAGGGTTCGGATGTCGCCGCCTACGTGTCGTTGCCGGATGACGCTGATGATGCTGATGCTGCTGCTGATGAGGTGGTTGATGATGCTGATGATGATGATGATGATGATGATGATGATGATGATGATGATGGTGCTGATGATGATGCTGATGATGCTCACGATGCTGATGATGATGATGATGATGATGCTGATGGTAGTGATGATGGTGGTGACGATGCTGCTCATGATGATGATGATGCTGACGATGATGATGATGGTCATGATGGTGATGATGGTGATGATGGTGATGATGATGATGATGATGCTGATGCTGATGCTGATGCTGATGATGATGATGCTCACGATGATGACTATGATGATGATGATGATGATGATGATGCTGATGATGATGATGATGATGATGCTGATGGTAGTGATGATGGTGGTGACGATGCTGCTCATGATGATGATGATGATGATGACGATGATGATGATGGTCATGATGGTGATGATGGTGATGATGGGTGATGATGATGATGATGCTGCTGATGCTGATGCTGATGCTGATGATGATGATGATTGTCACGATGATGTCGATGATGATGAGATGTGATGAGAATGATGATGATGATGATGCTGATGATGATGATGATGATGATGCTGATGACTGATTCTGATGCTGATGCTGATGCTGATGATGTGATGGCTGATGCTGATGCTGATGCGATGCTGATGTTGTCGATGCTGATAATGATGTGATGATGCTGATGATCTGATGATGATGATGATTGGTTGATGATGATGATGATGATGATGATGATGATGATGAAGATGCTGATGCTGATGCTGATGCTGATGCTGATGCTGATGCTGATGCTGATGCTGATGCTGATGCT